ATCTCGAACAAATTAGTATCGAATTACTATTTTATGCAAATATGTTTACTACAAGTAAATCTGAAAAAATCAAATCCAGTAAAATTCAAATTCAACTTCAATAAAATTCAGTCAAATTTAAGAATTGGATTTGAATTTAGTGCATTCATATTTACCATTGGTTTGTAACACCTAAAATCATAGGAATAGAGAGTGTGGGTGTGAATGTACATTTGGGTGTTTCCTCTTTATTCAACTCAACCTCCACACCTATACACATTGAAATGCACACTAATGTCTTCGCTCATCCTCATCTTAAAGTAACCCTCAGCTATGGAAGTAGGACAAAAACCATCATCAATTAAATATATCAATATGTTTCCAAAAATGTCATTTCCATGTCCACGAAGAAAACCCACATTATGAGAGACACAGTAGACAACGTCAATATGCAAGCAATTTTCGTTATTGGAATCATCTACAGCAATTGATTCGTTTTGTGTTGTATAATTCTATGAATATTCTCAGTATTATTTCAGCTTCACATTTCATGGTCAGAGTTAAGGTTTTTGATTAAAAAGTTACATTCTTATTATGTACTCCTTGAATAATATTCGAGTCTACTAGTTTTCATTTTCCAAACATCTTCTATTTAAGATTAACAATGATCGATTAATATATGCACTCAGATACTCAACGAAGAAACATATCTCGTCATTCGATGGATAATAAAAAAGTATAAAATTGATTCATCATCTCGAGTTCTTTCTTATTATAGTTTTGTCTCTAATTTTTTTTTCAATGTGTAATCAAATAATTAGATGAGGCGCAGTGGGAACAGAAAGTTCTTCTTATTCAGAATTTTGGTAAAAATTGATAGACTATAATAATGTTGTTATGGTCTTTTTCTTATAGTATAAGCTAACCATCTTAAATTTCATAATTATTTAATACTAATCAACAAAACAACCTAGAAAAATTTCGAACATTTTACTCCTGATATATGTAAGAACCATGATTTTCGAATTCGTTTCAAAACTTCTAGCACAACTGATATATGCCAAGATTGATATGAGAATTCAACTGAATTTGCAATGCTCAAAATAATTTTAAAAAATTCTCAGAAAATTGACTTCGCAATAGACATCCAGCTTCACAAACAATAGGCAATATTTCATTTGCACAAGAATTCACCAAAAGGACTACCATGAATTATAACCATAACAAAATGCTTTTTTAAATTTTTTTTCTAATTTACTAATAAAAACCAATGATTTTTGTTGTGTATATACCAGTTTTCTGAATGCCCTATCCTTTTGATTTTATGAGTCATATATTAATTGATGTTTATTTTGTATTCAAGTTTTGATTCTATTAGGATATAACATAATAACTTTATTTAAAATTAGTTATTGCATCATTTTGAAAATATTTATGTATTTCAGTTTTCGAATTTAAACTATTCAATAAAATTTTCTGAATTTTTCTCTAAGAACCATTATCTGTCATAAACCATCAATTGCACTATTTAAACAAAAAAATTCGGTTTCAGTATTGCTAGCACTTATAGTAATTTATTATGCTCTCATATCGTAATGATATGATATAAACATGGTATAAGGCATCTTTACTTTTACAAATGTTTGTCATCCCACTCTTGCTCATCATACTTTCGATTCAATTGTTTAAAAAAAAGATATAAAATATCTACATGGAACTTCAATTTTCACTATTTAATTATTTATCTGAGAATTCGCAACGGAAATCTTTCTTCATTAATCGTTTGAAAAATTGTATCTACTAATTACTGAAAATTTTTACTCATTGCACAGAAGCAAAACAAAGGCATATTGACTGTATGAAACAATGTTTCTATGTTTATATGGTAACAATATTTCTGGTTAGAATATTACCAAATGCTATTCTAATCTGAAATAAATTCAAAATTCGTCAGCCACATGTGTTTTACTTTACAACACTTCGAACTGTCACTCATCATACCTCTAATAGTTTTCTCTACTAATATGATAAAGAGTGCAATAAATATATGACTGATCAGCTTTCTATGAGAAAATCATAAAAAATATTGATGGTGAGGTTTCGACTTTTTCTAGAATAGTGAATTGATAGATATGAATACATATTCAGACAGCTACAATAGAAAATCGAAAAACTAGAATCTGTCATTTTTTTTTATAGCATTGTTTAGTTGTTAAATAATCAGAATTATCGCGCATGTAAAGTTTAAAGAAAAAAAAATTGAAGCCGATTTTTTTTCTCGTTCTTTTGTACACGGTTTAATAGAGCATGACAAGCTGCTGATGAATATATAGTTTTTATTTTATTTCGACTAGTGTTTGTCTAAAGAAAATCGTAAAAACTTGGATTGAATGAATATGCATCATTTATAATTATAAACTCCCTTTTCTGAAACATGATTTAGAAAGATTGTTGAAGTATATAGCGTTGAAATTTGGATCTACTCTACTTCCTCCATTCGCACAGATCATGACCAACATTTTTCTAATTAACTAGTTAATATCTAATCAGTGTATAGATCAAGTTTAATTGATGTCTCATTAATGGTTTCTCGTTGCATAACTGATGAGTAATCAATGAAGAAAATGATGAAGGACATTGAGAGAAAAGTGAACCATCCCACCAACTGCTCGCAGTCGGTGAGAGAAACCCAAGGATCCAACCACTCACTGTGCAAGAATTCTTGGTATATCATCAAGGACTATACATCAATAAAATCTCATCATAATATGTGAACTACTATCTGATTTTAGTTCTGAAAGAATAAAAGAATAGTTTAGAAATGTAATGCAAAATAGATGGATTAAAACTATCTGTCTATGAATACCAAGATAAGTTAGACTGTGTTTGAGATTTTAATCCCGTAGGCATTAAGCTAACACCTTTTTTTCGTAGAAACTTTCCAATCTTATGAAAATATCTTATTCTGACTCAGCAACAAAAACTGAGTGGGAAAGAGTTAATTGTTTACATTTAGAATGAATAAAATAAATATATCTTGTCTAATATAGATAGCTCCAGCATTCCTGAAAGCACGTATCTATGCGAATGTTTGTATAACTGTTTGACTTTTTTTTGTAACAAGAGACAGAAGCGAATGTTTTATCTTATTAGAAACGTTAGATCATCAGCTCCAAAAGTGTTTATTTAGTTCGTTTAGATTTTGTTTTTTGTGTCGACAATATTGAATTTTACTTTCAAATGACTACAAAACCAGATAAGAGAATCAACAATACACTCATATTATAGTAATCTGCTACAATTGCTCTGTTAAAAAGTGACATAGATACGAAAAAACAAATACAATGCAAGAACATAAATGTACATTTGCCAATCACTATTCCATGCACTATATTTCATTTTGTGTTCTGCTAATGAAGATAGAAATGGATGAATGATTACTCCCTTTTAATCATTCGATTTTCTCTAGTATATTATGATCTGAAGTCATCAATGTTGTCTCCTAAAAATGTGTTGCTGTTTGAATTTTAGTGCAGTGAAGCCTTTCTGCTAGAAACAGGACAATGTTCCTCTTTCGGAGAAATATTGTCCTGCCTTCGTTCATAATTTCAAATGCTATACATTTACTCATTTAAGTTTTGTACGATTTTATTTAACCAATACTGATCGAATCGAAATAAAAACTATATAATCGTGACCAACTTGTCAAGCTCTATTATATTATACAGAAAAGCACGAAAAGAAAACTGCTCGAGTTTTGTATTGCTTGCATCTTATTTGAAATAAAACGGTGAAAACTATTCATCGATTCAATCACCGTTTCATTACTAAATATATATTAAAGCGTCGTAAAAAGATTTTTAGCTAGTTAAGTGAATTTCTTATATTTGCTAGCGATGTTTCACTCAAAATAAGGGAGTGTTTCCGAAAACCGATCTTCATTTATAAATGTCTAACTCTGCGTTTCATGTGTCCAGCACGAAAATCAAACTTTAATTTTCGAGCTCAACAATGCAGATATAATCGCAATGACGATGCCACGAACACATATACAATAGTTGTAGTCAACTATTGTAATTGAAAATCTTTGAAATGTACAAATGTAATCTTTAGTTTATATTTGATTTGAAAGTTAAAAATGAGTAGCTTTGATCATTGTTTGGAATTTCTTGATCAACGAGAATTGTTAATTGACAATAAATTTCACTTAGTGACAACACATACTTTCAATTTTTTTCATATTGGCTTTTTGGCGGTTTGATCTATGAAATGAATTGTTTTTCAATAGAAACTTTTACATAAATGAATTTCTAGATTCAAAGTTTAGATAATCTTAATTCTTGACTATTTGATAAATATATCTATCATACTATTCTGTGTTGATTACGTACGCTAAATAGAATTTTCTAATCGTTTTCAGTTATTTTGTCTGCAACTTGTATACAATATAAAGAAACTATTAACATTCTTTATTAATCACGATAGAGAGATGATACAATCGTACACAGTTTATCAAATATCTATACGTATGCATTTTTAGTGTTCTTCTTAAACGAACACAAAATATTTGCTCTTAGACAATTAATTTTGGCTTTTGTTTCTTACAATGATACCCATCAATATATCAAGTTTGTGGTTGTTTTTTGTGTTACTTATGATAAATAAAAGCAACATGAAATAAAACTTGTTCTCTTCATGATAGGTTCTAGTGCTTTTGTCAGAAAAAATCGAAAAACATTTTGATGAAATGCCATTCGTGCCTATACTTCAATAATTGAAGAACATCATAGTGTTGAAACAAGATAGCATTAAAACAATGAGAATGAGCTGTATTTATCAATCAAAACACTTAGTTCTGTTTTGTACTGATGAAATTATCTTTATCAATCGCAGTAGACAATTGACACGTATTTGCTTATAACCTTTATTGCGTGGAATTTCAAGACATTTGAGAATATATAGAACGCTCGATAAGACACTTCATTGTTTTTATTGTAAAGTGATAAACAAGTGCAAGCAAAATGATGTTACAAATTCGTCATCTTTTCGCCAAAAGGTTAGAAAAAATGACTTCTAAAAGTCTAACAACAAAAACTTCTTATATAATACTTCGAGTAGATTGTTAGTTTGAATTTAATATATTAAGTTAAGGTTTTATGTGTTTTGTATCAATGTGCATCAGCGAATATCACTGGAACCTATTTGATTACAAAGTAAAAGCCGTTTTGTTGTGCATCATATATTAATTCTGCAGAAATTCAGCTATATTACTATAATATTTTATATAAAATATTATAATTTTTATTTAGACATTTCATTATTCTTGTCGCAAGTGTTGTTGGAGTTATAATTGCTGTAGCTACTTTTTTTATTGGATTTGCTGTTGGACGAACAAAATGTAAGAAATGGATTAGATAAAGTATGCCCTGAAAGAGAAGATCCGTATGCTAGAAGCACCAGAACTTCTCCAGTGTTGAAATAGTTTCAGTTTTTTGGACAAAATTTCGCAGATGCTATTAAATTAGTCTTGGTCAGGCGCTGTCTACGTATAAGAAAATGTTTTTCCACACATCAAATACTCATGACTAAAAATAATCTCTGGAAGTTATTTTCATTTTTCGTCAATATTTGAGATCATGGTCACTATGTGCTTTGCAATAGTCGAATTGTCTGAAAACAGATATTGAAACATCATCATAGATATACAAAGTCATATTTCTTCTGTTTATAAAATCATGATATGATATGATACGGGTATCGGTGTGTGAGTCTTCTGTGCCATAATACCTATACTCGCACCAATGCCAATGCTGAAGCTTACTCATACGTAAGTCCTATCAGTAGATCTTGCCATATTATATATAATTAGCTTCCAAAGATTACAAAAATTCGATGATCTTTGTGCATTTTGTATGAATAACCCGAAAAAAAGAACATTTTCGAAAATGAAACAGAGTAAAAAGTTAATGCATTTCAAAGTCATTTATAATAAACTACATTTTCATGAAGTCAATGTTGTATAATTTATGTGTCAAATGTAAGATTAGTAACTCTATAGGGTGTCCCGTAAGTCCTTAGCCAAAGAAAAATATAAATATCTTCATTACAACTCGACCAAACGAGCTCATTTTTTTTAACAAGGATAGAGGCATGTTCACATTCCAAACCCATACAAACAACGGTACTGCGAATCTTTGTTAAGTATCACTATTGACCTCAACAAGAAAATTTTACTTTTTTGGCAGATAGGAAAAAGAAACAATATTCTTAACAAAAGTTGTCACTGACCTTGTCACTATGAATTTGGAGTATGAATATGCCTCTATCCTTGATAAACATATCAGCTGGTTTGTTCTAGCCGTGACAGAGATATTTAATCTTCTCTTCAATAAAGTGTCTGTTGTACTATCCTGTATATTGTTTTTTTCCCATCTGTGAGATAGTAAAATTTTCTTGTTGAGGTCAATAGTGATGCTTAATAAAGGTTCTCAATACTCTTGTCCGTATGTATTTGGAGTGTGAACATGCCTCTATCCTTGGTAAAAAAACTGAGCGCGTTTGGTCGAGTTGTAATGGAGATATTCACATTTTTCTTTGGCTAAGGACTTACGGGACACCCTATAGATATCTCAAAAATTTCAGCTCCTAAGCATCTGTGTTCAGATAAGCTAAGATAAAAAAATCAGTGTTGGTCATGCAACAGAAAAAGAGAAAAAGGTTGCTATTGTATGTGTTAGGAATATGGCTAAGATGCATGAGGAAGGCGCATACCCTCACCGATTTTTGGATCCAACTATAAGCGGTTGGAGATAGTGCTTTCTACATAAATTCAAATTCATCGAAAAACATCGTGTCAGAATATATTTCTCTGATAAAAATTGTTGTAGCGCCATTTATAATCAAAAATTTATCTAAGAGCGGAGGCCTGTTTCGGCTCAGTGACTACTATAGGCGGCTCAGACGGATCAGCATTATCAGAGATCATCGAAATCGATTCATTTCTGTCATTTTTCAGACTTCAAACATATTCACCGATCTATATACAATGCACTATGATACATCATTTTCAGAAAAAAACGCCAGTATAGCGCAAATTATACCAATCAGTATACTGCTGGTTATTGTACTGTTCGAATTGAATGGGGTTCACTTTTAGCAAATTGTTTATGCACCTTTTTAACTTAAAAAAAAATACTTTGTTGCACCACTCCGTACTTTCTTTTTATTACCATATTCCCCCCATGCGTTGTTGTTTAAAAAATACTGCCAATTCAAGCAGAATTCTTTTTGAAAACTAAATGGCACATTTTTTGAGGATTCTTCAGCCTATAAAGTCCCTGCATAAAACATCTTCTGTGCGTACTTAATCTTTTTCATCGTTAGCGACGTGATAGAGTATGACTATAGAAACGAAAAATGCTCTAGTAACTGAATAAGGTGTTCGAAAACTAATTTTGAATAGTACTAAACCTTCTATGGAAATCCTAAGGTGACAGAAAAATACAAACTTCGGGCCAAGACATGATATAGTTTCTAGATACTAGTTTCCAGGGGACAATCCTTTGGAGCCCGATTTTATTGAAAGTTTTATTAAACGTGTAATTTATGGCGTCGAGCCTATTCTGAAAATCTTGGAATTTCCTATTATAAAGTTATAAACTTAGTGCTTAGGGCTTACTTAGTAAACTAATTAACCCAGAAGTTTCAAGCGACTGTAAACTCAAAGAATACACATTGTTATGTATAGTTCTGGTAAAAGAACTTCGAAAAAAAAGGCAATCAGTGTAAGAACTCACAGTCAAATGAAAAATGGAAATACTGCTTTTTGGCCGAAATAGCTAATTTAGGTATAATAAATATTATATGAATCCAAGTTTTTAAAACAATTAAAAGTAGTTTATATCCATAGTTATTCTGAATCTAAACTCACAAGCCAATCTCCTCCTTTGAAAATCGTGCATACCAGAGAACGCATCGCTTATAAGCCATACAATTTGGAAGTAGTTAGAGTGAACGTATATCAATTATCAATTACTGAATTCTAGGTGCAAATTTCTTATTTTTAGCTATAGCTCCTTCATCTTCTCCATCTTCTCCATCATCTCCAAGTACAACTATTGAAACATGTCGTGGTAGTCTCGAAGGTTATCCTGTTAGTGGTTCATCTGTATTAGGAAAGTATTCACAAGCAGCGATTGCTGTTGAGAATATTGACTGCTCACGAATTGGTCGTCAAATATTAGAACGTAATGGTACAGCTGTTGATGCCATTATAGCAGCAGCTATTTGTAATGGAGTTATGAATGCACATTCAATGGGAATTGGTGGTGGATGTGTTATGGTTATTTATTCTAAGTACGATTGAAAACAATCATTTATCATATTAAATATTTTCATTATTTTATAGACAAAGAAATAAAGCATATAGTATTATTGGAGTAAGTTTAAGAAAATATTTGAAAAGAACAAAAAAAAAATATGAAATTTTGTATATGTAGAGAGAACAAGCACCATTAGCTGCTAATTCAACAATGTTTATAGGTCGTGAACATATGTCTACGATTGGTATAGATTATTATAGATGAAAATCAAATAGAATAAAAATTTATTTTTCTTTTGTTTTCATAGGTGGTTTATCTATTGGTACACCAGGTGAATTACGAGCTTATAGTAAAGCATATTCTGAATTTGGAGGAGGTGTTTCATGGAAAGAACTTTTTCAACCAACTATCCAATTATGTCGAGAAGGAATTGTTATTACTAAAATTCAGGCTACAGCTATTAATGAAGTAAAAGTTGATATTCTTAAAGATCCAGGAATGAGGTTTGAATGTACAAATATGAATTTGCAATGAAATATGTATTTGTCTTTTTTTCTGTAGAGAAATTTATGTTAAAAATAATCAAACAAATGAGTTATATGGTGAAGGTGATACAATACAACGATTGAAATTAGCTCGAACACTTGAAATAATTTCTGAAAAAGGTGATGATGCTTTTTATACAGGTGAATTAGCTGATGTTATTGTGAAAGAAATTCAAGATCAAGGTGGAATAATAACAAAAGAAGATCTTTCTAATTATCAAGTTGATTTTCGTGAAGCAATACAAGTTAATCTTAATGAATCATTAACAGCATTTGTATCATATCCACCAACAAGTGGAATTATTCTTTCATTTATGCTGAATATCTTACGAGGTTTTTTCTTTATTTGTATAGTTGTTTCAATAATTTGATTTTTGTATTTTATTAAGGTTATGGCTTTAGTCCGAAGGATTTAGAGAGTGCAACAACTACTACTTTATTTTATCATCGTCTTATAGAAGCATTTAAATTTGCTTATGCTAAAAGAAGTGAACTTGCTGATCCACTGAAAGTTAATATAACTGATGTATGTTGATAATCGAAAGTGATGAATGGATTGTTATATTCATTAGAATAAAATTCTTTAGGAAAGATTAAATAGTAGTACTTATATTCGAGATCTATACCAAATAGGATTGATCATCAACTTGTTAGTTATTCGTGAATTGTGAAACAAGAAAATTTTGTACTGACGACAGTAACTTTTGATGTGCTAAGAAGTTTTCCACTAGAATTTTTTATGTATTATTGAGAGACCTATAAGAATATGAAACACCTGAGAGATTTTTAGCATAGGTTGCTATTTGGATGAGATATTGAATTTTTAATGAGTTTTTCTACTAAGATCTTAATTCTTCAGTACAATTATATTTTCATATTTCGATCAAAAATCGTCACAGAAGGATTTTAGTTGAAAAACGGAAGTATGATTTTACTAGAAGATTGGAGTCATACTGGGAAAGTTCATTAAAAATTCATTATCTTAGCTAAATAGCAACTTTTACTCATTTACTTTTAAGTCTTTCATAACCTAGTGACTCTCTAAGTAATGCACAAAAATGTAGATTGAAAGCTTTCTAATATCTCAGTAGACTCCTTCAGAAGATAAATTTGAGCAAAAATTGAAAGCAAGTTCTATATTATTCTGTATGATAATATTTGATTACTTTTTTAAGCTCATTCAAAATCTAACATCAATAGAATATGCTGATCATATAAGACAACGTATTGAGTAAGTATCCTATTTTAGTTAAAAGACAATTTCTATTTATTGTTGTTGTTTATTAAGTGATTCTAAAACATATGGATTTCAACATTATGGTGGAACATGGCTTGATAAGATGAAAACTGGTACATCTCATCTATCAGTTATTGGATCTAATGGTGATGCTGTAGCAATGACATCAACTATCAATCTATAGTAGAACTTTTTATATTTGAACTTAAAAATAAATATGATTTATTATGTTCTAGTCTTGGTTCAGGAGTCCTTGGTACTGAAACAGGTATTATTTATAATAATCACATGGATGATTTTTCTACACCGAATACAACAAATTTTTTTGGTGTTCCGGCTAGTCCAGCTAATTTCATTGCACCTGGTAAAAGACCAAGCTCATCAATGGCACCATTAATTATGTTTGATCAGAATAATCAACGTGTATTACAAGTTTTAGGTGGTAGTGGTGGCACTAAAATAACTACAGCTGTTGCTCAAGTAGCTATGCTTAATTTATGGTTTAGAAAAGATATTAAACAAGCAATTGATACTCCAAGATTACATTCACAATTATTACCAGAAGAAGTTTTAGCTGAACGTGGTTTTAATCAAGTAAATTACAGTTTGATATTTAATTATTAGATGTTTATATTTATTTTTATATAGACAATTCTAGAAGAACTAAGAAAGCGTGGTCATAATATCCAATGTGGTATGTATGGAGGATCAATTGTACAAGGTATTGAATGGAGAAAACAAGAAAATCAATTATGGGCTTGTAGTGATGTACGAAAAGGTGGTGCACCAAGCGGAATATAAGACTATAACGTATAATTCTTTGTATTTTAACTAATCGATTAAAATAAATAAAATTTCCACTATTATTGATTAGATATTATTGCGAAAGATAATATCGTTGAACAAGATTGATTGATTGATAGATAGAAGAATTATCTGAAAGTATAATAAATCTTTTTTTGTTGATTGATAAAAATATTTGTTTTGAAGTTACTAAGAAAATTTTATGCTCTTTCTTTTTATAGATAAATGATTATGAAAACTATAAAATTAAAGATCAAGATAAAATTCTTTTCGTAGTTTTGTTGCTTGTCGTAGTTTTAGCTTACTTGTTTCGGATAGATTACAGTTTACAAGACAGACGGTTCTTAATGTTTGATTATATTCAAACATATCAATAAGAAAATCAACACTTGAATCAGTAACTCGATTATTCCATGAAAGAGATAATACATAAAGTGTCTTATTATGATGAATAAGTGTATCGGTTAAGATTTTCACTCCATGATCAGTTATTTTATTGAAACCTAGCCAAAGTTGAGTTAATGAATGATTCAGTTTTAGCATTTGAGCAAGATATTGTACACCTTGATCTGTGATATTATTTGAAGTAAGAGCAAGTCTATTCAGTTTTGAATTACTATTAGATAATGCATGTGCTAGATGAAATACATCAGTATCATTAATACCATTATCACAAAGAGATAAACCTTCTAATGTAGTATTGTTGTGTAAAGCTGAAGCTAAATTTGAAATAGCTTGTGATGTTATGTTATTATTCGTTAGCCAAAGCATAGAACATTGTTTTTTAATGATTGCTTCTTTAATAATAATTTCTATATCTGAATCTGTAAGTTGTTGTTTTCGTAAATCTATTCTTGAACAAATTTTATAATTATTGATCTTATCTTCAAGTTGTTGATTTCGATAGACAGGTGAGTTTGCCATTTTGATTGTTTAATTCCTCTTTTCTCAAAGAAAACTAAGTTGTTATTCTATACTCATATGTAATCAATGGCTTCGTTTTACATCTTTTGATAAAGGTATGTGTGCGTTTATTAGTTACTTAAGTCTTATCTTATCGCATGACGACATGATCAAAACATGACAAGTATCAAATGACGATGGTTAGTTTATGATGTTTTGTATGAAGGTTCAAATTGGAATAAAATCATACTAGTAATAAGAAACAATGAATTGATTGGTTTCTTGAAATAATACATTTGACTCAATCAAAAATAGAACCATTAATGAATTTTTTTTTGTCAAACACAAGAATAATATTTGTTTTGTGAAATCGATATTCAACGGTTTTTGGATGACACAAAAAATAACAGAAATTCAGCATTCAAGTATTCTTAGACTCGTAGTTAAACTTGTTTAATTGTTGAGTTGTATTGAATACATTGATGTAACGATGATAATGACAAAACAAATAATGATAACCTTGGAGATTCAGGTTTTCATTTTGAAATATTAGCTGATCTCGAATTAATATATTATCTTGGATGACTATTCAAATTTTCTTACAGTCACTATATGAATAGTCATCTATTGTAACTCAAAGAGAATAAAAACATGCGAAATCTAATATGAATTTAGCTATAAGAGAATAATATTTTTTTCTTATATTGAGCTTCATTTCTTAATCATTTGCTTTTTGGTCTCATGATAGGAATATATTTATTTTGAGATAAACAAACGAACTTCTGTAAAAAAAAATGAGCACAATTTTCTTATGAAAAAGTGTTTTTAGGTGCAATTTTGATTGAAACTACCGTTTTTCGTATGACAATTTAATTTGAAGTGTTAGATTGGTTATGAATAATTATTTATATTATGTTAATATCTGTTCTTACGATTATCATAATCACTTATCGTTATAACCTTCATGTATAGAAAATAAATGGAAGACACAAGTACTTTTGAAAGTGGCATATGCATCAGCTTAAGTATATAATGCTAATGCCTCGCAATGCCAAATTGATCTTTATTAAATATTCAAAACTAATTAAAACTATGCTGCAAGTCATCGAATCATGATTAACTGATTCGTTGATTCTTATCATTCGATTCTTGAATCGTTTTCAGTTTCTCTTCAATCAATTTTAGTAGCACGTAAGCGTCTGTTGAATGTTAATTAAAAATTAATCTAGTATTGCATTTATTAACATTCTATAACTTTGGAATAATGCATCTAATGAACTTTTTTTTTTTTCCATTTCTGATGAACCTAAAATCAAAATCATCTCTATCGAAGAAATTCAGTTTCACCATCCATCTACACCATTTTGTTACACATCATCAAGCAGTATTATGTTATATGTTAATGAAACCTTTTATACTTTCAATATTATTTAAAATCTTCATCTACTTGTATATTTTGTTCCATAGTCAATTTTTATTTGCCTTTAGAATTTCCTCTTACTATAAGTTTTTGTTTAACTAATGCATTTAAAAACAAAATTCTATATTGTAGCACAAAACGATTTAGAACATAGAATTTAAACACTTGCCAATTATATCGATGATAATCATCGTTAGTGATCTACTAACAAAACGATCTTGAGTGTTCCTATTTATGACAAACCATGTCTCCGTTATATTTTCGAATTGATCAGCTTTCTGAAAAATCATTCACTACTCATTGTATATAAAGCTTCAGCTGTTGGAATACGCTACCGAATGATGCCGAATATCGGTCAAATCATCAACAACTCTTCAGATAGATATTTGAAAAATTGCATTTTTTCGTCTAACTTTTTTCTAATATTTATGTCAATATCACTCGACATGATTTAAATTCAAAGTTCAATCAATGCATGGTTAGCTTGAGTACAACGCATTGGTGCACTTCAAAGAGGAAAGCAAAAATTTGGTACCTCTCTATATTTCAGAGTACTTCGATCACATATCAAAGCTATCCTCTAGAACTTTTTAGTTGTTTCAAGTCTAACAACGTGTGTTACAAGCATATGAGTTTCAGTTCAATTTATATGTCTCACTGACTATACAACTTAAATACTTCATCGTCCTGCATTATGAATTGACATAGGTGAGACTGTGTCCAAAGCTAAAAATTGAAATCATTAACGAAACAGAAATTGGAATTCGAGAGTATGAGGTTTTTCGTACATCATTTATTAATTTATTATTGTCATACTGATATATTATAATACGAGAAAAGACCCATCAGGTTAAAGATGCTTGTATATATAACAAATAAACAGTTTCGTTATTATGAATACTAAAATATATATGTCTAGTCATGTTTACCAGTATGTAACGTACTGAATATAGCAAAGGTAAAGAAACAATAACAGATTTAGTTTAGAGAATAGAAAACCACAATACTGTTGCATTTATTCATGGGATACATGTATTTTTCTTTTCTATCAACTATCTTTGATTATTTTTTTTATTCGATATTTATCACATAAGTGTTACATGTTCATATATGTAGCTACATGTCAAAAATTTTCATACATTTTCTCTGAAAAGTATTTATTGGTCGCAAGCAAACCGTGTTTCGTATTATATACAACAATTTGTCCTAAATGTCTACTGCATGCAATCTTTTTACATTTTCTCTTGTTCTTTTATTGCCTAACAGGATGCCAACATATGCATACCGATAACAATTTTTTTCTATAGAAATGGTATCATTCATCAAAGAACTTGCTCCTCTTTGCATGTGGTTGTAAAATTCTACAGTGAGTAAGGGTAAAAGCAAGTGCTTCGTCAAATATTTTCTATTTATGTGGGTTTGAGAAAGAACATATAGTAAAATGAATTACTAATCTTGGTAATATTACATCGCTTATTCATTGAAATGAAATGATTTTATTGATACACAAAATACATAAAACTTTAAATGTTGTTATTTATTGTCTAATAAAAATACAAGTGTAATGACACCAAATAGTATAAATCTATTGCGTATTATTGTAAACGATGATGTATAAATGAAAGAAAAAATCTTTTGCCACAAAGCACTTATGATAAATTAAATGAACAATTCTGACAATATTTTAAACTATTTTCAAAGAAATTTCAGATTTGATTTTTCGTCATGTTTATCTCTATTATTTATTTATTTATCATTTATCAATCATATGTGACGGCGGATCGTCCTTCGTTTGATTCTATTCCTCAATCGAAAACGAACAAAGTAAAACACATTGATTTATTCACAGGTCTTCCACTTCATTCGAACATTTTTGAAGAAAAATTCGATATTACAAAAAGAGATATTCAATATCAAAAAAATTTACTGAATAATATAGAAAAAATAAAATTTAAAACTAATGCTAAACTTCATCGAACAGCATGTGTTATTCTCGATGTTATTCAATCTCTTCAATCAGTTCGATGTTTATTCGATATTCAACCAAAACTCATTCTTACATTTGATTCAATAGAAAATGCTATTTTTATCTATAATAAATGGATTATTTCAGATGTTCAATTTGTGAATGGTGGTAAAGAATGGGGTTGTCGAAATGTAACAACACAAGAACCCATATTAATTATTCAACGTATTATATCATTTCGAATTAAAAATAAAAAAATTATTATTTATACTCTAAAAGATATGAATCTAAATCCATTAGTATGTTTTGCTAATATGACACTAAGTCTAATTATTGAACAAGGTAATCTAGCAACACAAATGTTATCACGTAAAAAACGTACAACATTTGACTTGAAATTATTTGCTGATACCTGGTCTTTCACTCCGAAGGCACCTTATGGTGGTGAAATATTTTATCCTGGACAAACGATTACTATTCGATGGTCATATTTGAATATTAATGAAACAAATCATCTTAAAATAATATTTAATAGAAAAAGATTTGGATCGAATTCTCAAATAAGTCAATTGGATACATATATTAATATTAAAAATATTTCATTTATTATTCCTTTATTATTGAATATATCTTCTCATGATGAATATTATTTTGAATTTGAATTTTATCATAAATTTTCATTGTATAAAACAACAAGTGAAATATTTT